TCTCCCTTTACCCTCCCTGTTTTGCCACTCACACCACTGGTCCTATAGGGCTCATCCATCCTGGATTCCCTGTATTTTCTTTGACCAAGTTTTTTAATTTTTTTCTACAGCAACCCTGTAGTATTTATTGCTTTGTGTCTGAGGGTTGTTTTTGTTTTGTTTTAAGAAAAGGGGGGAAAGCTTTAATTCTACTAGGTCAGCAGTTCCAGTTCTCACCCTGTGAGTAGCAATCCCTTTGGGCGGCAAGTGACCATTTCACACGGGTTGCCTGATTCATAACAATGGCAAAATGACAGTGATGAAGTAGCAACGAAAATAATGTTATGGTTGGGGAGACATCACAACATGAAGAACTGTATTAAAGGGTAGCAGCATGAGGAAGGTTGAGAACCACTGCTCTAGGTGCTTACTTCACCTGGTAAAGCCGATTAACATTTTGGCATTTTTTGTTTTGTTTTCAAAAAGAAAGTAACCTTCTAATAGAGAATGTAATAGAGTTTGCAATTTCTCTATAATCCTTATTACTCATCATTTTCAGGTAGTGAAAATGAAAAGTAATTTGGAACGATTCCAGGTTACAAAGCTCTGCCCATTCCAAGAAAAAATTCGGCGACAGTATTTAAGCACAAATGTAAGTCATTCTCTTGATTTTGACCTGATTTTCTTTCTCTGGATCCTTAAAAGATGAAATTAACTTTGCTTTTGTGTAAATGTGTAGGTAATCTGTGTTTTGTTTTCTTCTTCTGTTGCTCAGGCTGTTTTTTTAATTTTGAGATGTGTCATACATTCAGCAATGTGTATAAAATTGGTATAAATGTTTGAAATAATTTTTAATGGCATCTGTGTGTCCACCAATCAGGATAAGAAATAAAACAGTACTAGTGCCCATAGATATTTCTTCCCTAAGTACTTCAGTCCAATTGTATAGCCCTCCCTCCAAGCCTGCATAGCTAATAACTAAACAGACATTTGTGTTGATGGTCTCCACACATTTTTTTTCTAGATCTGCACAGTTTATGTGTTCTGAAATAGCACATTCTTCATTCTGAGCAACTGAGTAGTGCCCACAGCCTATGCCGTATAAGGAAAGGGCAGGAATGCTACTCGTTACAGTAAGCTGAACAGTCTCTGGGATATAATTATCTGGCTTCAGCTCCTCTGACCAGCTAACAGTAGAGAGTCTGAGGGCAAGCTAGCATGTAGCAGGCATTGCTCTGCACATTGCCTCTGAATCAAAACTGGTGGGACTAGACAGGGTGATTGGCAAATCATCCCAGAGTAGAAACATAGACAGTATTGTGTCATAAAGTTTTTATATCTAGGATTGTCAACATGGGAGTTTCAGTTAAAAGCTGAACCATTTTCTTCAGTAAGAATTTTTATTTTTTAAGTACTTATTCCTAAGAGTTCTAAGTGGGTTTTCTCAAAATGTAAATTTATGTTGCTTATCAGAAAAAAGAGTGCTGATGGCAAAGTGGGTTACAAATGGAGCTGCTAGTTATAAGGTTAGCAGTTCAAAAGCACCTCTGCAGGAGAAAGAAGAGGCTTTCTATTCCCATAGTGACAGGCAGCCTGAGAAACTCACAGTGACACTTGTACTCTGTTCTGTGAGCTTGCTAGGACTCAAAACTGACTGGATGGCAGTGAGTTTTTCGAGGCGTGCTTTGTATCAGCACAGTGGCCTGTAGCGACCTGCACCAGAGCAAGGATGGCAGGTCGGCTTTAGCTCATAGACCTTCTCAGTTGGTTATTAGTACCTACAGCACTGTGTTGAAAAGGATTCTGAGCCCATGAATGGCCTTACAGGAGAATCGTATTTAGTCTCAAAGTGGTAGGACAGAGCCTCTGCTGCCCGCCAAGCAAAACAAATTCGATCATTTCTAGACAGGGTTAAACGTGTTTAACCTCCAGATAATGAACACATGTATGGTAAATCAGGAATTTTGCTTTTATAATTCTGTGCCTTGGATTCGACTGAAGTCATCGATACCCTAAAATGCTATATTTAGAATTTTTGCTGGTCTCCTTTTCTGCCCTGCCAGAATTAACTTGTAGAATACACCTCCTTTGTCACCATATAAACACTCTGTTAAGAGTCTATCCCTCAGATTAAGTGTGAATCTGTTGACTTCCATAATTAAGGTATACTTGTTGACTAATCATAACTTATAGTTCTTTTTTTCCCCTCCGTAACTTATAGTTCAGACTTATGTTCAGGCTTGGTATTTATGTGTAACATTGGAACAGTTTCGCTTTTCTGTGATTTGCTAAGTTACTTCGAAGTCCTGAAAAGTGGAGCTAGAAAAAGAAGAGAGAAGTTGTTGACTTTTTAAACTTGGCTGTGCATTAAAATCAAACTTTTGCAAATTGGAGATTCCTGGGTCTCATCCCACATCTGCTGCATGCAACGCTTCAAGGGAGTGAAACATTTTCCAAATAATCTGTAAAATAATGTTGATGCAAAGAAAAAAAAGGTTGATGCCCCATCCCAGCCATAATTACCAGACTAGTACAAGTCTAGAAATCACCAGTCCAGTTCATTGCCTAAGATTGACTAGAGTCCAGACTGGCCAAAGCGCAGTTAGGACTTTCATCCCGTCCTGTAGCTGACGAGGGAGGCAATAGATAAACTTCACAACCAGACAGAGCAGGCAAGTTTTCAGCTTCTAAAAAACCAGCCACCTCTCCCTTTCTGTACAGATGGGGCTCGTGGAGCCCTTGCAGACTGCTTGCACATTGCCTGCTTGACTGAGGAAACAAACGCGTTTAGAGACAAATGTGCCAGATTTGGGGCAGAAGTACTAGCTTCTCCAGCCTTCCACCCAGTTGCTGCCTAATTATCTTGCTGTGTTTTTCAGCTGGTAAGTCACATAGAAGAGATGCTCCAGACAGCCTACAACAAGCTCCACACGTGGCAGTCACGACGCATGATGAAGAAGACGTGAGTGCTCGTGGCTTCGCGTTTTTGTGAGATGGAGCCCACTGTGGTCTGCAGTAACTCTGGACACCTGACCTGACAGCCTTGCAGACCATCTCACAGACGTGACAAGACACACCTGCACTGTGTGGACTTTCGAGCCGATGCCTATTGTACCTTGCACATTGTGGAGGGAGAGGAAGAAAGGGACTGTGATTGGACTGAAAGCGGGGGAGGTAAATTAAGGCAGAACCAAAATGAGCTAAGTTGCAAATATATATAAATATATATATTTAAAAAGACACTGTTTACTGCAGTTACTCAGGAACTGCTTTTGATTCACATTAAGCTGCTTTCAGACATTTAAAAACAACAAAAACTTTTCTTAAAGGGTGCATTGATAAAATCGGAGGTTTTTGTTTTGTTTTTGTTTTTCTGTGTAAATGTTTTTCTAAGTTTATGGCACAGGGTACATCTATTCAGAATTTCTCCTCCATCCTCAGAGTATACTGAATTCTAGTTGTCACTTCCATTACAAATGATCGAGGCTACTTAAAAGCAGAGGGAGATGTTGCTCAGCCCTCTGGAAACGGTTGTAGTCAGAAGACATCATTGGTTCTGTGTTTCCTACGGAAATAAGAAACAATCAACATTGCACTGAATGCTTGTGGTTTGGGGTCCCTACAGGATACAGAGGGAACATTCTTGCCGAAAATTGAGTGAGATTTTTTTATGCAGAATTTTGTCAGAAGGCAATAGCACTGCATGCTTTTCTGTGAGTGCAAATGTACATTGCTAAAAGGTTGTGTTGTTTTGTTTTTTAAGATGGCACGCGCTTTGAAGAGAGGAAAATGCATTTTTTAAGAGTTTAAAAATCTTATGAGTGAGAATTATAAGAAAGCTTACTTATTTTCACCTTTAGAAGAAATAAAAGATGGTTCTCGTATCTCGTTTCCTCCAGTCTCTATCTGACTGTTAGCTATCTTTGGCGAATCGATAATCAGTGCATAGTGACTGAAAAGCTTAAATGTGAAAACCAGCAACAAAAAAGAGGTTATATTTTCTGTGCCATATTTTGTTCTTAATATCAGCCTAACTTTTACCTAAGACTAAATGTCTTGTATTAAAAACTACACAAAAAAGTAAAACTTTTTTAGATACTCTTTCTAACTCTTACCTTCTTGTGGTTTCTCATTATGTGTGATGTTCATGTTCAAAGTCGTTACTAGCAATTCAATATCATTCATAAAGGAAACAACAGTTCCAAACCCTGCGCTGGCCTTCTGCTAGTAAAAGCAAAGAGTCGGCCTCCACGCCTGCTGCCGGTCTTCCTGCTTGTCCATCATAGCAGTGTCAGCGGGATGGTGTGCTCGCTTGTATTTACGTGTTACATGCCAGTTCCACAAAATGCTCTTCAAGGACCTTATTTCATCACCACCACAATGGAACAGAAAGATGAGTGTAGTCTATGGGAAAGGCAGATATGAGCAAAATATTGAATGTTGTATTATAGTGGTTAAGTGTAGTGGTGCCCAAAGAAAGAAAGACAGTTTTCTGGAACTGGAGCAGAATTCACTGGAGACATCGCTATAGATAAACATTTGTGGTTGAATAGGAGTCTGCTGATTTCAGTAGAAGGATCTGCATGATGGTGGGAGGGCTTAAAAGACTGACGTGTTAGGGGAACACGATTCTGTGAGATGTGAGCACCGGGAGTAAAAGCTGAACGTGAGGAGAATATCCCTTCACTGTGAACGACTCAGATGCCAGAAATTCAGACCTTACCATTCAGCATGGAAGAGCCAGGAGACATTTTTAAGTAAGTGGGTGGTTTGGTTTGCTGTTCGTTATTTCTAATTAACAGCAAAACCTCCACCCAGTTCACAAGTTTTTTAAAAGAAAAGCCAGTGCAGTACAATGATGAATGAATGACATGGGTCTCCATTAATGTTCTTCAAGAAACGAGGACAAATGGAATCCCTGAGTCTTTGTTGGATGAAGTCTGTCTGATATTAGCTACCAGTGTGATTTGAATTTGAACTACAAGATTTCTAGAGTAAGTGTGACTGGAATCTAGGTTCAAATTTTGAGTGGTCTAATAAATAGGAAATAACAGTGAAGACACTGCGGAATTCTTTTACAGATGAGAAATGGGCTTAAGAGGTTAAGTAACTTTCCCAAGTTCGAGAGCTGGGATTTTATCCACCATTGGCCAGTTCTTCCCCAGCACTGGTTTATACTACCTGTTTTTCCCTTTGCCTTGTCTGTTCCTGTCTTGGATACATTGTGGGATGATTGAAAGCATTTTTTACTCTTGAACTAGTATTTACTCCTATGTTATGGACTGGATTTCCCCCAAAATGCATGTAAATCCTAACTGTTTGAAGAGTCCTGGTGACACCTAACCAGAAAGGGTTCCAACCCACTAACTGCTCTGCCTGAGAAAGGGAGGGTGAAGAGTAGTCTTGGAAGCCCTGTGGACAGTTCTACTCTGACCATTTACATCTCCGTGGGTTGGAATCACTCAGCAGGTTTTATATCCATTTGGGGATGTGTTTTTGTTAATGAAGCAGCAAGCAAGCAGAGATGAGGGCAGGTAGTTACAACACAACATGATTACCAGGGAACCAAGGAACGGAACGGCCTTCCCTCAGAGCCAACCAGAAGAAGAGTTCCCCAAGAGCTAGAGCCCTGATTCAGGCTTCTAGTCCATCGAACTGAGAAAATGGGTTTGTGTTTGTTACTCTGCCCGCTTGTATTTCCAGTGTAACCGCACTAGATAACTAATAAGACACCCTGCAAGATGAGTCATGAGCTGACCTTGTGATAAGTCTGTTATTCTGGGAAACGAGAATATTTTAATATCTACCTGAATTAAACCATAATTGTGCTGGCTAAGGGATTAGTTCAGAAAGTGGTTTCTTATTGGTAAAAATGCCTTCTGCCTGGAGCTGACAGTGACCCAGAGATGGAAAAGTGCCCACTTGTAAGATGCGTTGTCTCCAGTGTCAATACTTGCCGGGATTCCTCAGTGCGTTACCTCTGCCCTTTCCCAGTTTAGCTCCGTCAAGACTCAGCTGTTCTCTTAGTTGGAGACCAAAGGAGTCTTGGTTATTTTCAGCTCTTCATGCTCCAGAACTGGAGCATTGCCTAGAACTTAGTTCAGGGGTGATCAACCTAAATTTGTAGTCCTCAATCTCATTTGGATGTGAATTAAGGCTGTAAAGCAGCTTCAGAAATCTTGTCTAGTGGCTTGCAGGCTTGGTAACTGCAGATTCCTGCTGTTGTAGACTCAGTAATATGAATGAGTAAAATAGAGTTGCACCTGTTGAAGTCAGGCCAGAGCCCTTCCCAACCCCCAACAGAATTTGGCATGAAAATTGCAGTACCATTTCTATCCTTCAGGCAACCCACTGTGTTGTAAGTGAGCTGAAATTTAAAATTCTGCCTTAGGTGGTACTTTTCTATGGTCACTGAAATGAAGTTGATAAATTGCATATCCAACTGCATTTTAGTCAGCGAACTTAACACTCTAGAAGACAAAGGTGGTCATTAGATTAAAAACAAAGCCCCAACCCTCTTATTTATAAACAGAAATAGCTACACCTTGCTTGACTTGCCCTCCCGTCGGGGTCATTAGTGTATTATGAATTCAAAGGTCTTGATGACGTGCGTTTCTTTCTGGTCCTAATCTAGTAATGAAGTGCCTGGCACAAAGGAAGCACTCACAAAATGACCTTCCTTACCTACTATTTCCCTATACCAGGTAGAATGTTGAAGGTTATGTGTTAACTTAGCTAGGCCATGATTCTCAGTGCTTTGACAAATACTATGTAACCATTTGTGAATGCATTTTGTGATCTGATGTGAGCAGGAAATCAATTGGGAGGTTTCCATGGTGATGTGGCCTGCATCCAATATATACGGGATGTTCTGGCCAGGCTCACCCTCTCTTGATCCTGCAGCAGACTTTGCATCCTCCGTTCCTGGGACATGAACCAGCCACCGCCTGCCGTCTGACCTGCAATTTTGGATTTGTCACCCATGGATTTGGAGCTTGCTAGCGTTCACAAGTGCATGAGCTATTTCCTTGAAATACATAAACATACATCTGCATCCCTAGTGGTGACGTTGGGTGGGTATTGGACTGATATAACAGCTAAACAGTTGGCTTGATAACCACAGTTGGAAGCTGGCAGCTCCCTTCGATTTAAGCCTGTGAAATCCTGTGCATAGTTGCTATGCACAGCATGGACTCCCGGCAGAGGGATATAGATGTGTATTTCACTGGTTTGCGCCTCTAGAGAAGCCAGGCTTCAGTTCCAGGTGATGGGTTCCGGCTGCCTGTAATATTTGCTTCATAGCTGAAGCTATTTTCCAAATGTGTTTTATGCTAAATAGATACTCTTATTTAATCTTTAGGATTCTTTCAAGAAATCTTACATTCCAGATGGCTGGGGACTGGCGACAATGGTCCACAGCCCTCACCCCACCCCACCCCCACCCCACCCCAAGGCTTAGTTCCCGAAGGCTTAGTTGTGGAATGGACAGTCTGCCTCCTTGCAGCGTGTGTGCCTTCAAGGCAGTTGCGGCTCACAGTGACCCTGTATGACAACAGGACTGTCTTGGGTAGTCTTTATAGTCTTTGCTCTTGTGGCGCCTCTGGTTGGTTCCAATGACGGACCATTTAGTGAGCGGCAAAGGGCTTACCCATTAGGTCACCAGGGCCCCTTTCATGGGATTTCATTTAATTAACCCTTATGTGATTTCTGGAACCAAGAGGGTATCTACCTACATTTTCTTCCTCGAGGTTTAGTGGGAAGCTCCTATCCCATATTTAAATGTTTAATGCATGTTTCTGCTGGAACTGCATGAATGTACAGAAATGGGCCTCATCCTATGAGCTCCAGCTCTAGACAAGACTCCTTGGGATAACTGCATCCAACTAATTACATCAAAATCCATATTTAAATGGTTATTTTTCACTCCAAATGGTTTCCATTAATGAAAACCCATGGTTTTGACAAAAAAAAAAAAAAAAATCAAGGTGGAAAAAACTTTTCTTAAAGGTTAAACAGGCTCAGAGAGGTGGATCACATGCCCAAAGGCCATGACTTGAACTTAGATGTAGTAAACTAAGATTCAAAGCTGGAATGCCGAATCTGTGCAGCTGGACACTGACCTTCCCCTCCTCATTGTCCCCAGCCAACCTACGGGGGCAGGGTGGACCTTCATCTGCTACTTGCTATACATAAAGATGAGCAGAAGAACTTTTCTATCAAACCAAACACTGGTAAACATGGCTCGAAGGCTGAGCGTTGGCTTCAGCCTCCTGAAGTTAAAGGAAGGAGATTGGTCAATCTGTGGGTTTGAAGCCACAGAAGGGGGGAGGGGCATGGATGAGGTTCTAACACTGCTGTTGGTACCACAAAGCACCCATCAGCCCCCTAAAGGCCTTTTCAACCCATCACCTTTGTAAAGTTAATTTTGCTTTTTAGCAAAGACATGAACTGAAAACTCTGCCTTTAAATCAATTCCAGCTCGGAGACCCTACAGGGCAGGGTAGAACTGCCCCTGTGGATTTCTGAGTCCGTAACTGTACAGGAGTAGAAAGCCTGGTCTTTCTCTCGGGTGTGTAACCAGTACTCCTAGTGAATTTCTACAGGCTAGCAAAGTAAAGCATTAAACGCACAAAAAGGCACATACCAAAATACTGCGCCCGCTAACCCACTGTACCCTCCCATCCCCTCTTCAGAGAATCAATTCCTTTCTATTTCTTTGGCTAATGTAATTCTTTTATTAATGTCACCATTTTTTGTTAGGCACTGCCAAGTCCACCTTAACTTATCCAGGACCTTATGGAAAATCCAACAAAATGGTGCTGGCCTGTGCCATCTTCCCGACGGTTGCTGTGTGTGAGTGCCTGGTCTCGGCTGTTGTGTCAGT